AAAAAAAAAAAAAAAGGAATGGAAGGACTGTCCCTTATGAAAGCTATTTCCATGGCCAGATGACCTCAGTGTTTGATACATGTCTTTCTTTACTGACAATAGTCATCATCACCATTCTCACCATCTTCATTATCATCATTATTATAGTAACCTTAGAATGCTCATCTTGAATTTTATCTGTCATTTCTATGGTTGCTCATATTATGTATGAGATTTTATAGCCACTTCTATTATTGGAACTACTTTTCCATTTATGAAACAGTAAGTCATCTTCTTTACATTGAAGTACAACCTATACTGAAGGTTGTGGTCTTGGATCTTCTTCAGTAAGTATTTTAAGTACTTTTTGCTTTCAGCAAGCAAGATGTTTCTATGATCTGTACATTGCAAGTTACTTAAGTTGGTAGATCTTGCCATGTAAATCTGAAACCTCTAATGAATAGGTAGTCAATGAGAATAATCAGTGTAACAATGCTTTATGCATTATAGCCCAGTTTCAAAGAAATTAAAGAATGAAATTGCTAGGTACTGTGTTCCTGTCTCCCTGTCCCAAGGCTAAAGTTTTAGTTCATTTGCTAGTTTGTTCTAAAACATAATTTACTATGCATTTATCATTTTGTTTTCTAATATTTCCAACATTTGTCTTTATTACTCTTTATAATCATATGTATATAAAGCATAAAATTATTTTTGTACAGATGAAGAAAAATATACAGAGACATTAAGAAACTTGCCCACAATGGTTAAGTGAAAACCCTGAATTTAAACCCAATCTTTCTACCTCTGATTAACTCATTACTGTTGATTCCTACTTGTGGCAACCCAATATGTGTTAGAGTAGAACTGTGCTTCAGAGGGTTTTCCATGGCTCTAATCTTACGGAAGTGGATCGTGAGACCTGTCTTCTGTGTCATCGGTGGGTGGATTAATACCCACTTTCTTGGTATTATCCAGCTTCTCAGATTATTTGCTCAGCATACAGACTGAGTAAGTATGGTGAAAGAATACAACCCTGGCACACACCTGTTTTAATTTTAAACCATTCTGTGTCTCCTTGTTCTGTTCTAACAACTGTTACTTGGTTTATGTATAGGTTCCTCATGTGTATAATTAAGTGTTCCGGAATACTCATTCTTCACAGTATTGTTCATAGCTTGTCATGATCCTCTTGCATCACACCCAGGGAAGTTTCTCTACCTCTAGAACTGATCTAGAGTCTGTGACCTTCATTGAACTACCTTTAAAATCCAAAAAATCAATCTGAACTCTAATTCACTGCTTGTGGGAGTATAAATTGGAACCATGGTTTGGAAAATCAAATTTTCACATTATCAAGGCTGAAGAGACACAGAATCTGCAACCTAGCAAGTCTTTCTAACTGGAAACACATACACATTCCTTGTGTTCCCTTGTAAATCAGTTTTTCTGAGTTTGCTGGATCTTTCCCATTAGCATGAAAGCATGCAAAATGTTCTGAAGGAATGTCTGCAGCTGTTTCCAGTTCCATTCTCTGCTCAAGTCCTCCAACTAAGCTCTCATTTCAATCCATTGACTGAAACAACTCTTTGTAAACATCACTAAGACCTTCACATTGTCAAATCCAAAAGCAAATTCTCTGTCCTAGTCACTACACCCATTTTCTTCACTTGGCTTTCAGGATCTCTCTCTCATTTCTGGTTCTCAGCCTAGGTTACTAGAAACTCATTTTCAGCCTCTTATTTTCTCTTCATGTTCCCTAGCCTAAAGGCTGAGGTGCCTCAGCACTACATCTTCAGACTTCTCTTTTCTAGTTAAACTGACACCTCAGGTGATGTCAATTAGTACCATAACTGTAACTATTTCTATGCTAAGGCTATGCAATTTTTTACCTCCAGTCCAAATTCTCTCCCAAACTCCAGATTTAATCTCTCCACTTCCATACGTAAGTGACATTTCAGTTTAGCAAGTCTAAAGCATAATTTTTGCTTTCCACCACCACCACCTCCACTCTACTTCTCACTTTTTCCACATTATCGATCTAATTTGGGACACCATTCTTATACCTGGAGTCCTAGTATGGTGTCATAGGTTAATGTGCTGAACTGCAGATTCAGTTTGAACCACAAGGTCAGCAGTTCAAGTTCACCATTTGCTCCTTAGAAACCATATACACGGTCACTATGAATTGGAACTGACTTAACAAAAACAACACCACCATTTCTTACGCCTATTTAGGCAAAAAAATCTTTAGAATTATCTTATTCTTTCTCTATCATTCCCTGTCTAATCAAGGAGCAAAACATGTCATCTCTTACTTCAAAATGCATCCAGAATCTGTCCACTCCTCATCATCTCTTCTACTACCCCTAAGGAAGGAGCTTTGGTCATTAAACAAACAAAAGAGAATGCAACTATTGTAATTATTTTCCATCTTTGTAGATAAGAGCTAGTTACACCATCACAATGACATATCATAATCAATAAAAGCAGGAAACTTTTAAGTAAAGAAACTGGCAGCTTTACCATGTGTTTGAGTTAAACTTTAATGAAAAGAAATAAAAGGAGAGATTCTTGAGATACCTCTATTACCCAACCTGACACACACAGGTAGGAAAATACCTACGAATTCAAAGAAGCCATAACTAAGACTGTATGGTACAAATGTAGCTGGAACACTGGCTACAAAGCATATGTTGTTGATGGTGGTGGTTATGTGCCATGGAGTCGGTTCCTTCTCATAGTGACCCTGTATAGGGTTTTTGAGGCTGTAAATCTTTACAGGAGGAAAAAGCCTTATCTTTCTACTGAAGAATGGCTGGTGGTTTGGAACTGCTGACCTTTAGGTTAGCAGCCCAACTTGCGAACACAATGCTTCCAGAGCTCCTACAAAGAATATGAAGGGGCTTCAAACTGGAATTTTTCCATAAACTTTTGAAGCCCTTCATATCATGGAACTCCTAAAGACCAGATAAACTCTACAATCAAAGGAGGAAAAGAGAATTCTATCATTCAACATGGAGTCCTGGTGTGGCCCTGTAGGATCAACACTAAACTGTGAACCACAAGTTTAGCAGTTCAAACTCACCAGCTGTTCCTCAGATACCCTATACAGGGTTGTGTGATGAGTCAGAACCACTCAACAGCACTTAACAAGATATTTTGCCACCATCAAATTAAGTGATTGTGGTATCTTGCACAGATTACTAACATAATTTGATTTTGGATATGTCACTGTTGTTGTTGTTAAGTGCTACTGAGTTGATTCCAACTCATAATGAGCCTGTACAGTGTTCCTGAGGGGCAGCTGGTAGGACTGAACCTCTGACCTTACAGTCAGTGCTATCCTACAGGGCCACACCAGGGCTTGTGGCAATGTCACTAGACAAATAAAAACACACAATAATTAAGAAATCTTATAGCTCAGCAGTGGATCTTCCTTTAGGAGTAAAATTATTTTGTTGCTGTTAGGAGCTGAGTCAGTTCAAACCCACAGCAACCCGATTAACAACACACAAAACACTACGTGTTCCTGCCCTATATTCACAAACGTTGTTATGTTTGAGCACATTGTTGCAGTCACTTTAGCTAACAAATTTTAAACAAAGTAAACCCAGAACTCAAAATTCCCTAAGAATGTCAAAGGCAGATTTCTACTGAGGTGTTAAAATGGCAGGCTTCTCATAAAATTTCTACAGTCTATACTAAAAAGACCACCAGTAGCTCCTTAGCTAGCCTATAAAGGGTCGCTATGAGTCAGAACCAACTCAACTCAAGTGACCCCGTATAGGGTTTCCAAGGAGCAGGTGGTGAGTTTGAATTGCTGACCTTGTGGTTCAAACAGACCCTGTGGTCCAGTGCTTTATCCCACAGCTCCGCACCAGGACTCCACACAAAACAACTTGTAAAACACTACAATAGTTGCTGTGAGAGTCATAAATAATTACAAATAGCTTAGGTACTAAAATTCTTACTTAAAATTGGAATAGAATTGAATGGATGTTTATCTAAATGTTCCTATACTTTCACTAGGTACAACAAAAATATCCTAAAAAAGCAAATTAAGTATGTACCTTTCAATGCTGTAGACTTTTCTTTTTCATCTGGACCTGCCTGCTGGATTTGTGCCATGCTTATCCAAATTGGCAACAAAATTAAAGAGCTCAAGGAAATAGACATCAATCTTCAGAAGACAGTCTAGAATGAATGAAAGCAATAAATTAAGCTCTACTTAAATCCTACCTACTCCATGAGAACTTCTTAGATCCTCCCCATCAGGATTAATCTCTCTATTCTGACTTCCCACTGCACTTTCCAGATGCCTACGCCATAGCACTTATCACAGTCTGCCTTGCATTTGAGTTATTTATGTATTTGTCTAGGTCAGCTAACAGATTACAAAGCCCAGTTAGAAAGGAGTCAAGTTTTTTGTCATCTTTTTATCTTTTGTGTCACCTATACAGATACCTAATGTTTACTGAATTGAATGTACACAAACTTTCTATTCGGTTTTAGTTCTCTAGCTACATTATCCAAGCAGTTTCAGAAAATCAAAGTTTTAAAAACTAAAGTCTAAGTATATGCTATTTACAAGAACAAAAGAACCTACTCCTGGCATAGGCTGACAGAAGGGGGTTAAAATACATAAATACAGAAAGTACCTACAGGGTAATTTAAAATACAACTTTAAGGGAAAACTCATCCATTCAAAAGTGAAACTTACCAATTTCAACGTCTAGAAACCACATTTTATACCTATAAATTGTACTCCAACAAATGATCATACTATAAACCATGATATAAATTATGATTTCTTAAAATCTAATTCTGCTCTAATTTGGCCAAAGGAAAGGCTTTAAAACTATCAAGTTTTTTTAAAAAGGTAATACATGTGTACAATGGAGATAAACTGTTTTAGCCAACTGACCCATAATTACTGATGAAATTATTTTTAAACTACCTTCACAACAGTAAAAAGAAACAACAACAAAAGTATTTATTTGATTAAGGAACCCATGTGATTTGCTACCCACAAAGCAAATTTCAGTTTATGTTCAGAGATACATTTTACAATTATCTTTAAAAATTGAGGCATGTTTATAAACACTAGAGTGCATCAGAAAATATTTAAAACAAGAACACTTCTAGTGAAAGTAATAAGCATTTTTTAGCTCCGAATGTTCCAACTGATCATAAATCAATGCTGTCCTTGCCTCAACTCCAACTGCAGGTGGTATGATCCAAGAGAAGCACTTTTGACTGTAACAATAGTTAACCAAGTGCCCTTGATAGAGTATTCAGCTTCTCCATGGGTGACACAAACAGCTGTAGGATAAATACTGGACTGCTAACTGAAACCCACCAGATATTCCTCCGAAAGACTTACAGTCACTATGAGTGGGAATCAACTCAACAGCACTTTAACACTAAAGGAGTCCTCTCGGGGCACTGTAGGGTAAATGTTGCATTGCTAATAAAAGGTGGGTGGTTCAAACTCACCAGCCTCTCCTCAGAAGCACTTTGGTGGTGGTGGTGGTTTTGTACCACGAAGTTATTTCCAACTCATAGCTCCATCTCTCCATGTCATTGTCTCTGCCTCCACCTCTAGTATAGCTGCTTCTCTGGATAGGGTCCCACACTCTGCTCTTATCCCTTGATAGTCCCAGAGTCCTCCACTCCTGGACTGCAAGATCAACCACTCCCTTCCTTTTGTTACAAACATTTACCTTTACATTTGCAACATTCACAATTGGTCCTGATACCAATTATTTACTATTGAACCACAAGAGTCTTATCCCCATCTTCTTTCACCAGTCCCATTAGACAGGTTGAAAACGATTTAGTGGAGAGTCTACCTTCCGCCATACCTTCTGAAACTAAGCTCCCTCTTGAAAACTTGTAAGACAGTCACTTCGTGCCTTTGTTGCCCCCTACCCCACACACCATATTGGTTAGCCAATGTCTAAGTTGCCAATCCCTATCAACCCTGTGAATAGACGGGGTAGAAATGATCCTTGCTGTGATGATTCCTTCCCTCTTTTAAGCTACTACATCCAGAAGTATAGATAAAGTTCATCGAATTGTAGCGGATTACACTTTTTTTTCTCTTCTTTCTTCCTCTAATTGACTTCTGATCATCTAGACATTGAAGCAAGGTCAAATGGGTACTGTCTGCAAGTATGGGCGTTCTTGTGCATCTCCCCTCACTTCATATCAACTGGATGCATCACTCTCCACTCTAGTCCTCTATGGTTATGTCCCTGTCCAGGGGCTCAGGAATCCCCAGGTCTCACCATACTGCTGGCCAACCAGGTCTCACTCCAGGTTGACAGGAGTCTATCGAACATCATCAGACTCAGCCCACATCTTCATTGCTGCTTTTCCCCCACTTCCCCTCGGTAGACCAACGTGGTGGCCAGCAAGATTACAAGCCTATTCATGTATTCCTTTTGAGTTTCAGTATTGGAAGGGGGTTTGACTTGAAGGGACTTGATTACTTGCCTTGACGGCTCTCTGGCAAACAATCTGCTTGTTCTTGTGGTAGTCAATCAGACTGCCATTATTATTTCTGATTTTTTTTTCTGCTGGTCTTTCTTTCAAGAAGTATCTCCTGTTCCTCTAGTTACTCCAGGCTGGTCTGCTTGTCTTTTCAAATGGAAATTTCCTACCTCAGAAGATTCTGGATGGGGATCAGGATTCCACTATCAGGAGTCCAATACACTACACAAAGGCTCTGCAGAAAGCCTCTTTCCTGGGCAAGTTCTAGCACCCCTTTTAGGTACTACAATCAGTTATAGCCTGAAAATAGGCTTAAAAGCTTTATACAGTGGTTTCTGGCTATTCCTTTCTTTCCCCCTCAAGTGTCTATTTTACTATAGAAGGCAAGGGAAACCAAAATTCATAAGACAGTCAAGCATCTTAACATTATTTCCCCACTTATACCCATTCAGACTATGCCTCAATCCCTGTATCACAGAGCCCTGTTGTTCCAAGGTAGAGCATACATCACTTTTTGTCTCTGTCCTATTTAGTCCATACAAACCTGCCTAAATGTTCTCCTATCTGCCTTGTTCTTCCATTCACCCATTTCCCTCCCCTTCTTGTGTACTGCCCTGCCCTCTAATACCCGAACTATCATGTGTCTATTCCCTACCCTGTGATCCACCTTCCCCTCCCTCACCTCATGCACCACCCCACCCCACCCCCAACCAGTAACCAACAAAGAATTGTTTTTTTCTTTTTAGTGTGGACTTTTTAAGCTTTTACAATAATGGTCTAATGCAGTATTTGTCTTTTTGTGACTGACTAATTTCACTTGGCATAATATCCTTAAGGTTCATCCCTGTTATGTGGTGGCATACAGAATCCTTGTTCTTCTTCAAGGTAGCATAATATTCCATTGTGTGGATGTACCAATGTTTGTTTATCCATTCTTCCACTGATGGGAATTTAGGCTGTCTCCATCTTTTTGCAATTGTGAATAGTACTGTTATGAACATTGGTGTGCATGTATCTCATGTTATGGCTTGTATTTCTTCTGGATAAATACTAAGTAGAGAAATTGCTAGATCATAACATATCTCTATTTCCAACTTTCTGAGAAAGTGCCATACTGTTTTCAGAGTGGTTAGACCATTTTGCAATCCCACCAGCAATGTAGGAGGGTCGCACACTCTCCACATCCTCACCAGCATTTATTGTCCTCTGCTTTATTGAACTTCGCTGTTATGCTGGTATGAGATATCTCACTGCTGTTTCGATTTGCATCTCTCTAATGACTAATGATGTCAGCCTGAGGACTAAGGTGCCCCTGACACAAGCCATGATATTTTAAATTACTTCATATGCATGCAAAAGCTGGACAGTGAATAATGAAGACCACAGAAGAATTGATGCTTTTGAGTCATGGTGTTGGAGGAGAATATTGAAAATGCTGTGGGCTGCCAAAAGAACCAATAGATCCATTTTGGAATAAGTGCAGCCAGAATGCTCCTTGGAGGCCAAGGTGGCCAAACTTCGTCTTCTCATAGTTTGGACATATTGTCAGGAGGGACCAGTGTCTGGAGAAGGATATCATGTTTGGTAAGGTGGAGGATCGGCAAAAAAGAGGAAGACCCCCAATGAGATGGACTGCCTAAATGGCAACATTGATGGACTCAAGCATGGCAACAGTAGTGAGGTTAGCCCAGGATTGGGCAGTGTTTCGTTCTGCTGTGAATAAGGTCACTATGAGTCGGTATCAACTCGATGGCACCTAACAACAACAACAACAACAACAATGGCTAATGATCATGAACATTTCTTCATATGTTTGTTGGCTACCCGAGTGTCTTCCTTGGTGAAGTGTCTGTTCATGTCCTGTGCCCGTTTTTTAACTGGGTTATTTGTCTTTTTCTAGTAGAGGTATTGTAGTTTCCTATATATTTTAGATATTAGTGCCTTGTCTAATAATATTGTTGCAAAACATTTTTTCCCATTCTGTGGGCTTCCTTTTTACTCTTTTGGTGAAGTTTTTTTGGTATACATAAGCTTTTAATTTTTGGAATATCCCAATCGCCTATTTTCTTTTTTGTGTGTGCAATTTTCACAATGTTTGCTAATCTGTGTGTGTCTTGGATTAGAGCCCTCAAAGTTGTCCCTATTCTTTCATTGATGACCTTTATAATTCTGGGATTCATATTTAGGTCTTTAATCCATGCTGAGTTGTTTTTTGTATATGGCATGAGGCAAAGGTCTTGTTGTCAATCTTTTACATATCGATTTCCAGTTCTGCCAGCTCCATCAGTTGAAAAGACTATCTCCTCCCCATGCAATATACTTACGACATATGTTGAAGATTGGTTGGCTATAAGTGGCTGGGTTAATTTCTGGATTCTCAATTCTGTTCCATTGATCCATGTATCTTTCATTGTACCAATACCAGACTATTTTGATCACCGTAGCTGTGTAGTAAATTTTGAAATCAGGGAGTGAGAGGCTTCAAACTTTGTTCTTCTTAGCAGTGCCATGTTTATCTTGGGTCTTTCTTTTCCTTATAAAGTTTATAATAGTTTTTTCCATCTCACTGAAGAATGTCATTGGAATCTGGATTGGAATTGCATCACATGTGCAAATTGCTTTGGGCAGTATTGACATTTTCACAACGTTAAGTACTCCTATCCAGGAGCATGGTATATTCT